AAACCCAGGAAATATATTTCCACCCCAAAGATCCTTCCAGCACTGTTTCTCAGGGCTGCTGTGCTGGTGGATCTGAGGTAAATGGAAATGATAGCAGGAAAGCTTTAGAACTGATCAATAAAATTAATAATACTGAATTGCTGAGACCAGCTGATACTTGCCCAGGGCTCCAGAGGAACTCAAGCATGAAATTGCTAAATTATTATCTATGGTTAGTACTGACTGCTCAGAGCTGCTGTAGTACCAGAGGAATTTAAAAAATAAAAAATAAAAAAAGGTGACACTTTTCCAAGAAGAGCCTCAGGGAGATGAGGGAAATTACAGACCAGGAGGCCTGACACCCCTCCTGGGCAAGGAAAGATAAGAGTGGCAGAGTGATAATAACGGAGAGGGACTGACATGGCCTTTGCGGAGGAAAGCAGACCTCAAGCCCTCTGGGGGAACCCCTGCCCTTACAGCTGAGGGCGATGTGGGTGTTCCCATCTATCTAGATCTGCAAAAGCCACTCGCTAAGTTCCTTCCCCAAAGCCCTGATGGAGGCTAAACTGCCACAGCATGAGAGAGACAGCCTGCAAATAGCCTCAGTGCTGCTTAAGAGGCAGGAAAAAAAATATTTAGAATATTTTCTTGAAATTAACAGCCCTGCGACGTGTGTATGGGGACCTGTGCTGGGCTGACAGGGCTCAAGTGTGTGACACGGGAGTGTTGACGGAGGGAGGTGACAGCCTCTGCAGAGGGTCCTTGGTGCCCCTGGGTCAGAGCAGCAGCTGGCTGGAGACGTGGGAGCTGAGCGATGCTGAGGAAAGCAGCTGCATCCTTCCAGCTCAAAGGGAGAAATAGCAAAGATGTAGAGAAAATGTTTTTCTGCCAAAGGACAACTATCAGGGGCTTATCACCAGGGTGGGGAGGAGGAGGGGAAGGGGGGACGTGGGCTGTTGGTGCCTGCACCAGAATGAGAGGGCGCTGGGTAAAGCGAGGCGGGCTCGTAAGAAAGAAAAGATGTTACTATTACACGTGACATCTCACCAAACCACAAACCAGGTCTTGCCAGGATGCTGAGAGAGCTAAAGATTTACACAAGACCAGAAAATGACAAGACAAATCAATGAAACAGAAAATCCCTCACAAAGTTTCCGTCAGAAGGTGTCAGGACAGGATACGAGGGGGTTAGGTGTTTCTGTTCTGACACTTTCTAGGGTGGAAAAGTGTGACATGGAAGAGAAATTTCCATTCTGCAGCTGGCTGGGGTGGAGTGAGGAGCTTTTGGGGGTGGCCAGAAGTGTTCTGCACTTTGCTATTTGCAAACTGCAAAGGCCAGCTGCCTACGGCCAATTCCCTGCTCTGCTCACAGCTCCCTGGCACTTTTGAGACAAACCCTTGTCCCCGCAGCCGTCGTCTGGGTGTCCCAGAGTTTTTCACTCTGTGCTCTGAGCCACATTCCCCAGCCAGGCTCAAGGCCCCTAAAAACACTTTCTCTGAGGTGGAGCTGATTTGCCATCCCTCTGCTCTCCCACAGGGCACTGTGCCATGGAGGGGATGAGCTCAGGGCACATCTCTGAGGTAACACTCACCCTTTCCAGCTCCTTCACCAGGATCTTGACCAGGACGGCACTGTTACTGGGATTCTGGTCGATTTTTTTATGCAGAGTCCATCGCAGCATCCCTGAGAAATGGAAGCCAAGAAAGAGGTCAGGTCTCCAGGCAGAGCAGCGATGGATCAGGGGCAGAGTTTCACGGAGGAATTGGGAGACCTGGGCACTGTTGCTGTGAGAATCACCCACTGGGATGCTACACTGACGTCTCTATCAGAGTTAAACCAGGCTTCTCTGCCCTCTTCTTCAATCATTGGCCCTCTGCAAGGGACAAATCATGCTGTTGCCCCACTTCTGGATGCAACATCGATGTGTCACACCTCTAATACCTTTGGAAAATGGTTGTAGCAATTCAAGGATTGAGGGGAGCAGGAGAAAATAAGGCAGGGCAATGTACATTTTTCTTCTGTTCCCTCAGTTGCTCTGTTTGTGACTGCCTGCTTTCACCACCTGCCCCAAAGAGTTTGGGTTCCTGCTGGTCGCAGCCCACAGCGCCTGAACGCTCGCTGCTGACAGCTCACAGAGCAAGGACCACAAAGCATCTCAGCCCTGCAGATGTTGAGGCTCGTTGCAGACAAAATCAAATTTAATTCACTGTAAAATATGCCCTGCTCTCCAAGTAATGTCAACTTTTCAAAATTAATTAAGTTTCCAAAGGCTGTAGCGGTCTAGTTGCTGGGTCAGCTGGGGTTTTATCCTCTGAACCCATAACACAGAGATTTCAGCTGTGTCTTCAGCGAGGAGCTGAGCAGCACATGGCGACATGATCTTCCCCCTGGGGAAGTGATTTGGATAGGGCTGCATGGAGAGTCGGTGTTAGAGCAGGGATCAGTGCACGGCAAACACCAGGAGCTCACCGAACATTTAGCAGGTTAGAAAGGGCAGAGCAGCACCAGGGAGGTGAGGCCACCCCATATCTCCCCACCTTGGCACCGACTGAGAGAGGGGAGAGGTGAGGAAGGGGTTTAGGGCCAAGTGATGCCCCAGCGAGGCCGTGCGGTGGGTGCTGATGCCCGGGAGCCGTGCTGGGGGTTCATCTCCCCTCGGTCGCACTGGCAGGCAGGGTGATGCCCATCCAGCTCTCGCAGCAGCGTGCGGACGCGGCGCAGGATGTCCGACTCCACCTCTGCGGGGACAAAGGGGACATCAGCAGTCAGGTCAGCACCCCTGGGAGAGTGGCACCCAGGGACAACCCCAGGGCAGGAGGCACTGGTTTGGGTGAGTCCGGGAACTGCACCCTGACCACATCTCTCAAGGGTGGCTCTTTCCGCTGGTTTCAAGCCCGGATGAGCCTCAGTGGAAAGGGCAGAGCTCTCTCTCCAGAGCCACTGGAGCTGGGGACAAATACCAGCCCATGGACTGGTGGCTCCTGGAACCATACTGGAGAGCAAAGTGCTCCTGCGGGGATGTGGCAGAAGAGGAGCTCTGCAGAGGACTGCTCACACGTGAGCTGTGCACAGCCCCTCTCGCCCCTCATTCAGTGAAAAAATTCACAAATTAAATACCAAATCTAACGCAATCAAACCACAGCTTGGCACCATGGAAGAGCAGAAACACCTCGGCGAGGGTCTGCATGGATTTGGCCTTGACCTCACACCTGTTGCAAGGAGCAACAAAGCCTTCTGCCCTCACAGGAAACCCAAGCAGAGCCACCAAGCTGGCGTGTCACCTCTTACCCTCCATCCGCGACTGCTCGCAGCCCCTCCCTGTCTTGCAACCACCCACCCAGGGACCCTGAGCACCTTCTTCTCCCCCAGGCAGGGACCCAAGGTCAGCGCTTCTGCCTGGCAACCACCACTCACGTCTCATACGTGTCAAAACCAGACTGCATCCTGCTCTCAGCCAAAAATAAGTCTGACAACCTCAGGCCCAGTTTGGGGTATGACTCGTACGTGAGGCGAGGGTTTATGATCATGGGTGAGCTCTCATGAGAGCTGGCTGCCAACACAACACGGACGTAAAATAAAAGTGAGCCCTGAAAGCACATGGGGGATCTGCCAGCAAAGCCGCAAGGTCCCTTTACTCCACCACAGCCTGTCTTACATTGGGCTACTCTCTCCCTATTGGCAAATCCAATTCTTGCTCCTTTGTAACAAAAAATTAAATTTGAGTATTATTAAGTGATGTTCTCCATCTGTAGGAAGTTGTAGACTGGAACATTGCCTGATCCTTAGATGTCTGCGGTCTGAGCTGTCTCATCCACATGGGTTCGGTGCCGGTACCACCACATTTCCTGCTCAGTTTTGCTCCTGAATTTTCTCATTCCCTCCACAGCCGCACCTGCCACAGCTCCATCTTCCCTCACATCAGGGAGGGGCAGGAGGGCAGAGGTGGGCGCTCATCCTCCCCTACAAGAAGGAGAGGAGGCAGCCAGGGGAGGGGGGTTGGGAGCTGGCTGCTTGGGAGCTACGGGAAGGGCAACGGGGAAACCCTGGGGGAGGTTTATTACTCAGCTGCAGGGTCAGACCAACAAGGGGCATCTCCACTGAGTGACCCTGTGGGCAGAGGACCATCAAGATGTGATCACGCAGGAGATGGGGCAGCTTTGAGTATCTGGCTGCCTTTGCACCATCTCAGGATGGGTTTGAAACCAAAACCAGATTATTTTTCGTTCTTTTACTGCATGTTTTAGAGGTCACCCAGGGTCATCATGCAGGGGAGGGGCTGTGGCACCCCACGATTGTCACCGTTGCCCACTGGTGATGCACAGCAGAGAGCAGGAGCACTTTGCCCCTCACAGCATCCCTGCTGTCTCCTCGTCACCAGCTTGCAGGGCGGCAGCGTGGACATGTGACAAGCCACTTGTGCCCTCTCCAAGCCCAAGAGTGCAGTGCCATGGGTCCGGTGAGATAGTAACCAGAGCACGAGACATGAGTCCTGCCTAAAAGACAACTGGAAAATGCAAAATTCAAAGTATTTGGGATGCCCTATAGCTGAGTACGTCCCAGTAGCAAAATATCTCTCCTTTTCTCTGGCCCCAGGGAAGAGCATCCCCTTAAGGATGCTTGTAAGGGAGGGTTCATTCAATTCAGGCTTCTTCTGCAGAGAATCACTTACCGTTGTGTTAGAAAACAACTACACACTCGGGTTCACAATTATTCACACGTGCTGATGAAGCTGTGTGTGCGTACGTGGGATCTCCCACCTCTGCCAGCACAGTCCATACCATTACACCCACACGGGGAGAAACTACAGTGCAAAAATGTCCTTTGAAATGGGTTTTTTCTCATTTTGGGAGCATCATTCAGGGAAACGTCTTGGAAATTTGTATCTTCTCTCCTTTTCATTTTCTGTCCAGTGATTTTGTAAAGCTCCTCAATTCCATGATTATGTTCATTGGTTTTGCCCTAGGGAATTATGCAGTAAGGAACTATTTGAAATTTCCTATTCTTTTCATTTGTGTATGTTTTTAATTACCAAGGGAAGCTTTTCCTGAGCACTGATATAAATACTGTCCTCTTTTTCTAAATCAAAGCAACTACAGTCATGATATGCTGAGGTTTCTTCATGGGGAGCAGAGCTTCAGAGCATTCATTCCAACACAAACAAGAAGGTACTTTGATCTAAAAACAGCCCTAACCTTCCAGCAACAAACAGCAGTGCCTTAGAAATGAAACCAAACATTTCAACATTGATATCCTGACCTCGGGGTGCCGGGAGACCAATGCCACCTTGTGAAACAGTGGGAAAATAAAGCACAGATGGGGGGAGAAAAGGACACAAAACCCAAAAAACCCCATCAAACTGCTTTAAAATTCAAATGCAAATGCTTGCCAGACTCAGTGCTTTCAAAGTACCCCTTTACCAGAAATATTTTTGCTGCCCCTCAGTTGTTTCGTGCCTCATTTCCCATCCCTCCAGCTCCATCTGCCAACACCTCACAAAGAGGAAAGTCTGTCCGGCAGCGATGAATCCTCCTTTGATACCCACGTGGGGTTTTTTTATGGGAGGGTAATGGGGTCATTAGGCTGGGATCCCCCCTACCCCAGGCAGGCTCAGCACCACCCACCTGTGCTCTCCATGGCTGAGCTGGGGCTGCAGCACGGGCTGGTCGCAGGGCGTCCGCAGTGATGGGGCGAGTGCGGAGCTGCTCCTCACTCCACATGGGCATGGCCTTGGGTTGGGTGTCTCGTCTGCAAAAAAAAAAATGCAGGACACGCTTGGCTCAGGCTGGCGGCAGCAATCAGGATCAGCTTGAACCTTGGCAGGGAGCGCAAAGCCACCAGGACACCGTGGGCACGGGACACCAGGGGGGAGGATGTCTGGGAGGCAGAGCCCTAAGGGTGAGCACAGCATGTCTCAGGGGCTGTGTTTTACTGGAGAAAGCTTCAGCTGGAAGCTTAACCCATCTAAACACTTGGTCCCCAAATCCTCCTGCAGCAGAGAGGCTGCCAGGGATGAGCATCGGCATCACCAAGCATGGCAGGATCGGGAACCTCATCCTCCCAAGGATTAAAGAAGAAATGTTCAGGTTGAGACTGAAATGCAAAGTCCAACCACATCCCCCCCCAAAAAATTAAAAAAAATAAAGAGCCCTAATTTCCATGAGTTTTCTATACTTGGTGTGCTGATATGTTGCAACCCTGATCCAACATCCCGAAGAAACAAACCACAGAGAAAACTCAGGAGCAAATTACACTGCAGAGGGAAGCCAGCCTGGAGCCAGACAGCTTCCCTAGCCCTCAAGCATTGTTCTCTCCAAAGAAAAAATTATAAAAAAACCAAAAAATCCTAGGAGCTGAGCAGGAAGGAAGGGAAATTTGCCTGTGACACAACGACAAGCAGACTGCAAGCTGGCACGGGGCAGCCACGGGAGAGCAGAGGAGATGTCGGCTCCTTCTCTGCAAAATCCTGCTGCCAAGATGCTCAGCTGCAGTGATTTACCCCACAGCCAGGTCCCTTCCAGCCCACGGCTCAGGCGCTTCGTGATCCTGGCCCCCATCCAGCACCCACGGCGAGGCAGCCTCTCCCCCGGCGCGGTGGCCTCTCCCGTCT